GGCCAAAGATGCTCATCCTTCGGTGCTTAGTGGTCAAGCTGCGGGGGCTTCTACGACTTTCTTAGATTAGTGTCCTCGGGCACGCACGCCCCTCAGGCAACGGCCTCCAGTGGGCCTCCTGGAGAATTTGAGAGCAAAAGAAAAGAAAATCCTTCTTTTCTGGCAAATTATGACAACCAGGTATTATTCTTTCCTTTAACATTCATTCATCAAGCTTTGCACCCTCTATCCAGGATAGCACACTAGATATCACTGTACGTGATCAGGTTAACGACACATGACTGCGTCCACCCTCGGAGTCTCAGCGTATCTTTAGGGGAGCCCATCATTTAAAAGCCCGGAGTGTGAGAGTGTTGCACTTTTCCATGTGTGCAAAAGTGGAAGGTCGAGTTTCATTTTCTTTCGCCCTGGCCCATTCTTATGCTTTTGGAGGAGGATAGGAAGGAGTCTAGCACAGCACAGGGCTCTGGAAGTAAATACGTCGAACGAGGTAACTACGATAAAAGTCCATCATCAGTTGTAAGACCACCCCACTTAGCGCCACTCCGCGCCTCTTCCCCAGGGGCCGCCTCAAGTAGCAGGTGCAGGTTGGACATGGTTTATTTGCGGTTCCGTTTGGTAAAGTCACACAGAAGACATAAGAAAGAATTAGGAGAAACGGCTTCCTCTTCCTGTGGTCCACTTGCGTGCAGACAATTTCTGAATGTGCGTAATTATGGATTTCCTCTGCTGTTTCCTTGGGGACCAACTTTAGGTTCCTTTTACATCTTTTCCCTTCAAAGAGTTATTCTGCTGCGTGTAAGTCACCAAGCCTCTCCTTATATGATTTTCCATTCTGCCTTTTGGGATTTTTCCTTTTTAAAGAGGTTAGTAATTTCTCCTAAGTGTGACTAGAGAAAAGCTAAACTCAGAGATTTCTAAGATTTACAATCCCAAGTGTTGGTCACTTACTAGGGTTTAATTACAGAGAGCAGAGCAAATTGTGTCTTTTTGAAGTCTAAATTATATGATGCAATTAAAACTGTAACATGTGGCCTCTCCCTCACACTGATGTCAGGACCCCCACTAAGTTTGAAACCCTCCCTTGGAAAAGAAAATAAATTATTTTCTCTAATGACATGATATCAATGCTTATTCATAGATAAAAAACATATATTTATAAAAATTACACCAGCGTTCCTTGTCTTAAAAGTCCAATTTGTGAAAATAAGGATTTTCAAGTTATAAATGAAGGAGAACTTGCTTAGTTCTTAAGAGGATAATTCATAAAAGGGTCCATTTTTAAAGGAAGCTTATGATAATAATAATAATAATAATAATAATAATAATAATAATAATAATAATAATAATAAAAATAATGATAATAATAGTAAGCAGGCTTCCTATTTCACACCAACATGAACTCTGAAAGAAGGATAGAAGGGAATGGTGGCTTCCAAGAAAGAATGAAAAAGATAATGAGAAAATCTGAGGGCAAGTAAGTCTTTCACGACTTCCATTGTGTGTGTGTGTGTGTGTGTGTGGTGGTAAGTGGGTGAGAAGTGGAGGGAGGGGTTGCATCCTGGGGCAGTGGCTGGCCTGATCGTTTTGTGACTTTGAGTTCTAGCTCTTGCCTCAAGATAATCATTGCTTCCCCTTTATTGCAAAATTCTGCAGCAACAGAGCTAGCCACCTGTCCTGGCTCCGTATATCAGCAAGGTAGCATCAGGGAAACATAAAACCATCATCCGACGTGAAGACATATGTGGAGTGTTCTACACTGCTGCCAAAGTCGCACATCCATCCCATCCCACCCCTAGGGTTATGTGAGTATAAATTAGTGTGACTACTTCCTCCTGATGCTGTTTCTTCCTAAAGTGAACCTAAGGAATGGTAACAAATGGAAGTGATTCTGGAATTGACTCCTCACCCAGATAAGGATGATAGTTAAGTCATGTTTAGGCCCATTTCACAAATGAAATGCAAAAATCCGAAAACTAATTCACCAATTTAAAAAATGCATTTAGATTATTATGATTGAGTAAAGTTTACACCAGGGCCACAAGGATAATTTATAACTGGAAAATTTTTTTGGTCAAGTTCGTCACATTCACGGACTAAAGAAAAATCATGCAGCAAAAAATACACTATTAAATTCAGTCCCTACTTATAGCCAAAAAAATGAACAGAGGAGAATAGAAGAGATTGTTAAATTGGTAATAACAATATACTAAATATCTATAGCAAATATTATAGTTATTAGAGAAACTCTAAGTTTATTGAGAACAAGAGAAGAATGACTGATGTTATCACTGTTGTTCAAAATGGTATTGGAGAGATGCTGATCAAAGGCATGAGAAAAGAAAAAATATATTTGCAAGCTTTGTAAGAAAAGAGGTAACACTGTTATTATTTTCAAATGATACGGTCATCTGTCTAGAGAATACGCCACAATCAACAAGTTTGCTAGATGCAATATCAAGCGACGGAAAGCACCATTGACCTATTGGCAACACTCAACTAGTAAGATTGGGCCTGTTTTTCTCAGGGAGTTAGAATGTTATTTAAAAAAAATGAAAAGATACCATGCAAAATAGTAACAACAACTATGAAGAATTTCTGAAATTATCAAGAGGAAAAATTTCTTCTTAGAGAAAACTTTACAACTCTAGAAAAGATCATAAAAGATCTGCATAAATTGAGAGATTTCCATGTTCTCAAGTAGTATACGTTAATACAATAAAGATGTCTGCTCTAATTAAACTAATATGAAAATTCTTTATAATTCTAATAAGAAATTCTGGTTGGCCCATGAATAACTAACTAAACCTTTTACTAGAAGAATTAATTTGGATGTCTTTTCATATTAGTTACTAAGATAGACTCCAAACTTATGTTCACAAAAATTTGATATTATTGTAGGAACAGACGAATGGACCAATGATGGACCAGTGGAGGTTAAAAGAATATTTAAGAGATAGACCAAACAAGGTAACATTCAAAAAAAAAAAACATAAGAGGAAGAGCAGATTATCTAGCATATGGTGTTGGGGAACTAGTTCACTATAAGGAGAAAAATAAAACCAGATCCTTTTTAAATGTTACCTAAAGATGAATGTCGAGGGATTACATTCATAAATAGAGAGGATGATTTACAGGCAACTTTTCACGTACTCCCTCTGCCCTAGGTGAGCCACAGGCAATCATGCCATTGTATGGTGATGCTTCATTTGTATGCAGCACTGTGTTACTCTTTACAAGCTCATTTAAAACTTGCAACAATCTAGGTAGTAGATAGTGTTACTCAACACCCCTGTTTACAGGTGGGCAGTCCCAGGATCAGAGATTAAACGATGCCATACACTTGCAAGCAGAAGAACTGGGGGATAAGCCCAGCGCAGATATTTTGGTCTCAAAGCCCTCACTCCTGAAAAAAAGGAATGGAAATGTTTTACAGGATTAAAGAGACTAGAAAAGATGCCATTAATAGCATTAACACACGTGGGTGTAATGTATGCATTACAGTGACAGATGTTTATATACTAATCACAGGTCAGAAAAGTATCTGATGCAATATTTTACAATGTAATCTAACATGATAGTTAATCTTCATTCTAATCACCTTCTTTCATCTCACCGCTTGTCTGCGAGACAGAAAGCAGCCTGTGACACTACTAGAGTTTGCAGAACCTTCAGACGTCATCATGCAGAAAGCTTGTAAAGATAACTGAGTAATAAACAACACCTTGACAGTTCCTGGAAAGCAATTTTTTTCTTTCCAAGGATGAATTATCTTCCCTTTACTTGAATTTCCTAAACAACATCACTAGAATGCTTAGCAGTGTATGATTTAAATATTACTTGAGTTCTGACCTCCTCCTTGGCCTTTATCTCTTCCAAGTCTGAGCTCCATTCAAGGGCCCCATCATTACAGAGGAGCTCCCAGGCTTAAAAAGTTAGTCATCAGTTTAAACTCCTCCGATTTTCCTCCAGAGGTTTGGTCATACAGGCAGTCATTCTAGCTTTGGGTTTTAACAAAGCAGAAGAAGCAACACCACATCTCCTGTGGCAACAGGGTAAGTCTTCCCTAAGGTTCCTGGGTGACAGCCATACAGGAGAAAAACATTAATAAAATATTTTGAAGTAAAATCGTCCTCCTGTGATGTAAATAACTCCTTACATGCTGTCAGTAGGTAGTTATGTGGTCTCTTAAGATCTGTTTATCCGGGACCACTTCTTATTGTCAAGGATTGGTAAAATCCTTATGCAGAAATTGCTTTCTTACATCAAACATACACAGCAGATATTATACTTCAATTACTTATATAAATGTAAATGCCTGAGAAGATTGTCTTTTGATGGAAGCACTTCTAAAACTCTTTATTTTTTTTCCTTTTTGACTTGAATGCATTTTATGGGGGAAATTTTATCTAATGTTGATAATCTTTAGAATTTTTTTTATCTCAAGGTCAATGCTATTATTTTGTTTCAGTGGGTTTAAAACTATTAGCAATAGCTTCCCATACTTATTTTAATAATGTCTATATTAACACATATGCATATATGTTAATATTAACAAAGTTATTAAGATAAAGTATGAACTCCCATGTAACCATAGTTTTTCATTTTTATATTAAAGGAAATTCTAGTATAATTGTTTCCAAAAGTCATAGACATGGAAATTAATTATATTACTTATTTTAGAATGAATAGTTAAAAAAAATCTTTTAAATATTAAATTGGATAAACATGCTTTTTTGCTAATAATAGAGCTATATGTTACTTTCTTAGCTTAAAAAGAGTGTAACAACTTAATATCATTATTCTCAATAAAAGTCGTCAACAGATATTTGAAAACCACAGTCATTTACTACGTATCATTTTACCACCGACAAGGCATAAGTACATTGGCGTCATAAAATGTTCACTTTAAAGTACAGACGTTATCACTTACTGTTGGATGTCAGGGCAGGATGAAGTAATCTGCTTTATCTGCAGGAAGAAGAAAGGTGGAGAGGTATATATACATTATACCTATTTCCTGCTTTGGCAAATTCTGGTTGTGCAAGTAAATCTAAGTCAACAAGGTTTGAAACCGGATTTGTCATAATAGCAGTAGTCTCAAATTTCATTGCTGCTTGTCTAACCGAACTTTTGACATTATCTTGTGATTCTCCACATGGCTTTTAAAAACAGATTGCTCATTCAAATGTAGCCATTTAGCTATTGTGCTTCTATTCTTTGGAACTCATATACTGTTATAATTTATCCACATTTTTGTCAGTCAGTACTTTGACAATTCTTAACTAAATTATGCTCATTACAACATTAGAGTTTTCAAGATTATTTCTCTCTGTAGAGCTAAGTGTATCACTTTTGTAAACTCTAGAGAATACAGTGTTTTCTTACAGAGATCTAAAATATCCATTAGTAATCAGTTGGACTTGATGGCTTGGGAGAACAATCTTTATCTTTGTAAATGCAAGGTCACAGTGTCTTTCAAAACAGAATGTCGAGAGACCTCATAACTCATCGGTATTCTCCTGATACTAACATTTACCTTCTAGTTGTATGAAATTAAACATAGCATTGATCTATATTACATGCTAAATTATCATCATTTGGTTCTGTTCAGCTATGAAAGGCTTTATTTCATTATTCTAGGCTTGCTTCCACACCTCGCCTTCAAAAATGAAATGTGTTGTACTAATAAGTTCAGATTTCTTTGTCTCTGAAATGTAAGGATTTCAAGTACTGAGTTTTTTTTTAATCAATGAGGAAGTGTAAATTAATAAACCACAAGTGGCAC